AACCAAACCAAAAGCACGCAAATATAGTCAGGTATGGTGGCACAAGCCTGTAATCCCAGCTAAACTGGGGGGTGAGGTGGGAGGATCACTTGAGGCCAGGAGTTCAAGACCAGCCTGGGCAATATAGTGAGACCCTGTCTCTACAAAAAAATTAAAAATTAGCTAGGCACAGTGTCTCACGCCTGTAATCCAGCACTTTCAGAGGCCCAGGCAGGCGGATCACAAGGTCAGGAGCTCAAGACCAGCCTGGCCAATATGGTGAAACACTGTCTCTACTAAAATACAAAAATTAGCTAGACATGGTGGAGGGCACCTGGAGTCCCAGCTACTTGGGAGGCTGAGGCAGGGGAATCACTTGAACCAAGGAGGTGGAGGCTGCAGTGAGCCATGATCACACCACTGCCCTCCAGCCTGGGTGACAGAGCAAGACTGTCTCAAAAACAGAAAAAAAATTAGCTGGGTGTAGAGGCACAACTTGGAAGGTTGAGGGAGCAGTATTGCTTGAGCCCAGAAGTTTAAGGCTGCAATGAGCTATGATTGCATACTGTACTGAAGACTGGAAGCGAGACCTTGCTTCTAAAAAACAAAAACAATAAAATAACTCAAAATGGATCACAGACCTACAGGTAAGAGCTAAAACTCTGAATGTCTAGAGCTGTACTGCTCAATACATTAGTCATTAGTCAAATGTGGCACTTGAAATGTTTGTTGCTAGTATAAACTTAGATGTGCTATAGATGTAAAACATACATTAGATTATGAAGACTTAGTATTAAAAAATGTAAAATATCTCATTAATAAAGTTTTATAGCACTTAGATGCTGAAACAGTATTTTAGGTATACCGGGTTAAATAAAATATATTAAAATTAAGTTCACCAGTTCAAATGTCTACTGAAAGTTTTTACTTTTTTATTTTTGTTTTTTGAGACAAAGTCTTGCTCTGTCCCCCAGGTTAGAATGCAGTGGTGCGATCTGGGCTTACTGCAACCTCTGCCTCCAAGGTTCAAATGATTCTTGTGCTTCAACCTTCTGAGTAGCTGGGATTACAGGTGTGGGTTAGCACACCCAGCTAGTCTTTTTTGTATTTTTTTTTTTCAGTAGAGACGAGGTTTTGGCATGTTGGCCACGCGGGTCTTGAACTCCTGGCCTCAAGTGATTCTCCTAGCTCAGTCTCCCAGAGTGCTAGGTTTACAGGTGTGAGCCACCCTGCGTGACCAAAAAATTTTTAAATTACATATGTTGCTCACATGTTATTTCTATTGAACAGTGCTGGTCTTAGAAGTAAACCTGGGAGAAAATATTATTGATTTTGCAAAGATTTCCTAAAATACGGCAACAAAAGTACAAACCTACAAAGAAGAAAAGATGATAAACTGGACTTGTCAAAATTAAAAAATATTTTCTCTTCAAAACATACCATTAAGAACATGAAAGCCAGGCACAGTGGTACACACCTACAATCCCAGCACTTTGGGAGGACAAGGCAGCCAGATGGCTTGAGCTCAGGAGTTCAAGACCAGGCTGGGCAACACAGTGAGGCCCTGACCATATATATATATATTTAAAAGCCTGTCAATACTAGGTGTTGGTGAGAATGCAGAGCAACTGGAATTTTCACACATGGCTGGTGGGAATACAAAACAGTACAACCATTGTAAGAAACAGTTTGGATGTTTGTTATGAAGTTAACATATAATTTAGCAATTTCACTCTCAAGTATTTACTAAAGAGACCAGCCTGCCTAACATGGTAAAATTTGCACTTAAAAAAAAAAAATCCAACAACAAAAAATTAGCTGGGCACGGTGGCACATGGCTCTGGTCCCAGCTACTTGGTAGGCTGAGGCACAAGAATTGCTTGAACTCAGGAAGTGGAGGTTACAGTGAGCCAAGATCACGCCACTGCACTTCATCCTGGGTGACAGAGCGAGACACTGTCTCAAAAACAAAAAAGTATTTACTGAAGAGTATAAAAACATATGTCCACACAAAGGACAGGTATGGTGCCTCATCCCTGTAATCCCAGCACTTTGGGAGGCTGAGATGGGTGGATCACTTGATGTCAGAAGTTCAAGACCAGCCTGGCAAACATGGTAAAACCCTGTCTCTACTAAAAATACAAAAATTAGCCAGGCATGGTGGTGTGAGCCTGTAGTCCTAGCTATTCAGGAGGCTGAGGCATGAGAATTGCTTGAACCTGGGAGGCAGAGGTTGCAGTGAGCTGAGATTATGCCACTGCACTCCAGCCTAGGCGACAGAGTAAGAATCTGTCTCATTAAAAAGAAAAAAAAAATCGATTATCAGTAAAAAGAAAAAGAAAAAAAAAAACAGGAGGCTGAGGCAGGAGAGTAGCTTGAACCTGGGAGGTGGAGGTTGTGGTGAGCTCAGATCACATCATTGCACTCCAGCTTGAGCAACAAGAGCAAAACTCTGTCTCAAAAAAAAAAAAAAATTACATTTGTACAATGAACTATTACTTAGCAATAAAAAGGAATGATCTACTGATACATATAACATGGATAAATCTCAAAAATATTATGCTAAGAGAAAGAAGTAGACACAAAAACTATGTATTACATGATTTCATTTATATTAAATTGTAGAAAAGGAATTTCTACAGTGATAGAAAACATCAATGGTTTCTAGGAATGTGAGTGTAGAGGAGTGCAGTGACTCCAAATACAAACAAGGAACTGTATGGGGTGATAGAAATACCACACTGGGGATGGCTACAGAACTCTTCCAATTTGTACAGTTAAACTTAGTAATTTTACTGTATATAAAATACACTGTAACAAAGCTGACCAAAACAAATGAAGCAACACAAAATGTAGTTTCTGATTTAGCAGGTCTGGTGTTGGGGCATAAGAATTTGTATTCCTAACAATTTTAACATTCTCAGATGATGCTGATTGCTGCTGCTGGTCCCAGGACCTCACTTTGAGAAACCTTGGTCTAGTGAGAGACATTGACAAAAGGGGCCTAAAATAAGATGGGTATCATCTTAATTAATGTCCATTCTGTACCACTACCTACCTATCCTGAAGACAGTACTCTATCTTCAAGAGCACAGATAATCAAGAAAACACTATGACTTCTTACATCTCCTGACACACTTCTTGAAAATCCTGTATGAGACAGACCTAGAACCTTTAGGATAAATTGGAGGTCCTTTGAATATTAAACGCCTTAGGTTCAGAAGCAAATGTGGCCAGCTAACACCTCCCATTTCTAAAACTCGGCCCTGCATTTCCATACCAGGATACCTGCTCTGAAACACAGCTCACATTACTGGCCTTTGCTCATATTGTTTTCTTGCTCTGAAGGACCATTTCCTGTTCCCAAACACTGAAATTGCGTTGTTTTTTTTTTTTCTTTTTTTTTTGAGATGGAGTTTCACTCTTGTTGCCCAGCCTGAAGTGCAATGGTGCGATCTCAGCTCACTGCAACCTCCGCCTCCTGGGTTTAAGTGAGTCTTCTGCCTCAGCATCTCGAGTAGCTGGGATTACAGGCATGCACTACCACACCTGGCTAATTTTCTACTTTTAGTAGAGATGGGAGTTTCTCCATGTTGGTCAAGCTGTTCTCGAACTCCTAACCTCAGGTGATCTACCTGTCTTGGCTTCCCAAAGTGCTGGGATTACAGGTGTGAGCCACTGTGCCCAGCTGTATTTGTTTTTTAAGGCCATCTTAAATGGCATTTCCTCAATGAAACCGTATGTATTACTTCCTTTTCTATGTTCTCACTGTTATTCGTGCACTCCATCATTATAGTGTTTATCTGGTCCTACCTATCTTAATAAATGCTTATGGAATATACCAATTTCTAATTAACAGTAAGGGCTCCTAGAAAACAAATACATTTGGAGAAGTGACTCAGAGTAGACATCATAGTTTTTGTTAGTCCTTTATCTCTTACAGGGGAACTCTCTTCTCCCCTTTTATGGTAGGTCTGATTAGTCCTTGTGGTTCTAGTGAGACCAACTCCACCCACAGGACCCAGGCCTGACCAATATGAGTCATTCCTCCTTCTAGTCTCAATACTGGGTTCTAGGATAAGCATATCACCCAACCTAAACCAACCATATATCTTCTCAGTGCTCTTGAGCCAGAAACAGGCAGATTAGCTTATACCTGGAAAAGTTCAATACCATTTATGTTAAATTAAAAATACAAACAAGTGGACAAAGAAAATTAATACACAGTACTCATTACAATGATTTAGCCCACTGTTTAGTAATCCCTACTATATCCAAAAATAACATGAGAAAAAGGCACAAAGGAAATAACCAGACATATTACAAATTTGATTAATCACTGAACATTGTGAACTCTGATTTGTGTTAGATTAGCCAAAAGGATGCCTTTGCATCAAATATTGAAAGTTAGAGGGACACAACTCTTTAACCTTCCCCAAGTTTTAACAGCAACAGATGAAGCTTACTTAGGGTCAAAAGAAAATGACATCCAAAGAACAAACACTAGAAGCCAAGGAAAGATGAATAGAAGCAAGAGATCTGCATGTATCAGTAAGACAGACATCAATAGGCTTCAGAGGATTATTATGTAGTCCTCTGAAGTATGATCTATTACCTGATAATAAGAGCTCCCAACAGTGGGAGAATATGGAAGTTTCTCTTGTTTTGTTTTGTTCTTTTGAGATGGAGTCTCACTCTGTCGCCTAAGCTGGAGTGTGGTGGTGCGACCTCAGCTCACTGCAACCTCCGTCTCTGGGGTTCAAGCGATTCTCCTGCCTCAGCTTCCCAAGTAGCTAGGATTACAGGCATGCACCACCACACCTGGCTAATTTTTGTATTTTTAGTAGAGACAGAGTTTCGCCATGTTGGCCAGGCTGGTCTTGAACTTCTGCCTCAGCCTCCCAAACTGTTGGGATTAAGACATGAGCCACTGCATCCAGTAAGAAGTTTTTGAGATAAATGAGGTACTAGTTCTTTAGGGGTGACTTCTAGGAAAGGAGCTGTGTAAAGCCCTCACTCACCTGAGTGATTATGCGTTCTCCATCCTTATAGATCTTCTCTCCTATTACATCCACAATCTTCATTCGTTCTGACAACTGAAACAACAGACAAATTCACAAATAAAAGGAAAAGACCTTAAGTGAAAGTCACAATAGCTATGCAACACAGAAATGGGTTTAGAATAGTATGATTTGAAAACCTAACAACAGAATAGTTTTAAAAGCTTTTCCTAATCCCCATGAACAGATTCTCATTCAAGCCACTTTACCTCCAGTGATTTAAGGAGGGGCACAGACTCAATAAATGATTCAAACATCTTCCTCTTCTTTGCATTATTTTTCACTATGATTCTTCTAAAAGTCACCCGGTCCTACAAGAAAGAATACGAAAATTCTAGTAAATGCCTGTAAATGAGAACATCTATGGCTTAATTAACTAGCCCAAGCAAATATTAGAGGAATATGTAAGCTACTGTGTTAATTAAGTGTTTAATGATACTTCAATCTTCAGTCATCACTGGAAGAAAAAGACCTTATAGCCTGAGCCTGCCAGATGCCCACATGCTGTTGCTTGCTGTCTAGCACTCAATAGGTGCCACCTATGGGTCATAAATAAAACACAAAACAGAAAACGCCTAAACGTTTTGTGAGTTCACTGTCACTGTTCAATGTCAAAAAAAACACCTCTAGTGAGCTAAGATCATGCTACTGGACTCCAGCATGGGTGATGGAGTGAGACCCCATTTCAAAAAAAAAAAAAAAAAAAAAGACACCTCACCAAAAGAGAGAATAAAACAATTATTTAATCCTTAAAATCCAGAATTAATTAATTAATTAATTAATTAAATTTTTGAGACAGAGTCTCGCTCTGTCGCCGGGCTGGAGTGTAGTGGTGGGATCTCAGCTCACTGCAATCTCTGCCTCCCGGGTTCAAGCAATTCTCCTACCTCAGCCTCCCGGGTAGCTGGAACTATAGGTACATGCCACCACGCCCAGCTATTTTTTTTTTGTATTTTTAGTAGAGATAGGGTTTCACCATGTTAGCCAGGATGGTCTCAATCTCTTGACCTCATGATCTGCCTCCCTTGGCCTCCCAAAGTGCTGGGATTACAGGCATGAGTCACCACACCCAGCTGGTTCTAACCCTTTCTATGCATGCTTTTAACACTTCCCAGAACTCTCTTTTCATGTGGTACAAGGCCAGTTCCTATGGCTGTGGAGAATTTTTTTTTTTTTTTTTTTTTTTGAGACGGAGTTTCGCTCTTGTTACCCAGGCTGGAGTGCAATGGCGCGATCTCGGCTCACCGCAACCTCCGCCTCCTGGGTTCAGGCAATTCTCCTGCCTCAGCCTCCTGAGTAGCTGGGATTATAGGCACGCGCCACCATGCCCAGCTAATTTTTTGTATTTTTAGTAGAGACGGGGTTTCACCATGTTGACCAGGTTGGTCTCGATCTCTTGACCTTGTGATCCACCCACTTCGGCCTCCTGGCTGTGGAGAATATTAAAGAAAAGCACCAGACATCCACACAGCCTCTGAGGAGCATCCAATCAAGCAGGGAAGAAATTCCCATAGGCAGTAAGTGCTCAAAGGCAAGCACTCAGAGGCAAGAACTTAGCCCTGAAGTTCAAAAGAGAAAGAGTGCTACTCTCTCCTGTGACTGCAGGAAGTTCCCAAGAAAGCTTCTATTGACTTTTAATAAAGCAAGAGAGAGCAGAAGCAGTGACTAAGTATAGGGACCATAATGGCAGCTGCCCACTATAAAAGCAGGAATGTAGGATCTAATTTGAGAAACTCATGACAACACCAAGTCCTGCCAACTTTGGCCTCAGAAGGCATTTCCAAGGCCTTTGGAGACCCAAGTAAGAAGTCAGGCTGAGCCGGGCGCGGTGGCTCAAGCCTGTAATCCCAGCACTTTGGGAGGCCAAGGCAGGTGGATCACGAGGTCAAGAGATCGAGACCATCCTGGTCAACATGGTGAAACCCCGTCTCTACTAAAAATACAAAAAATTAGCTGGGCATGGTGGCACATGCCTGTAATCCTAGCTACTCAGGAGGCTGAGGCAGGAGAATTGCCTGAACCCGGGAGGCGGAGGTTGCGGTGAGCCGAGATCGCGCCATTGCACTCCAGCCTGGGTAACAAGAGTGAAACTCCGTCTCAAAACAAAAACAAAAACAAGAAGTCAGGCTGGAGAGGAGCTTCTGGGAGTTACTTTCCTAGAGGTGGTAACGAAGCTTTGGAAAAGCCTAGGCTTGCAAAGCAAATGAACAAACAGGAGAAAAGTAGAGGCCAAAAGGACATCTTGATAGGTCACTGACTTCACTTAAGAAAGTAAGGAAAGGGGGCCGGACGCGGTGGCTCAAGCCTGTAATCCCAGCACTTCGGGAGGCCGAGGTGGGTGGATCACGAGGTCAAGAGATCGAGACCATCCTGGTCAACATGGTGAAACCCCCGTCTCTACTAAAAATACTAAAAATTAGCTGGGCATGGCGGCGCGTGCCTGTAATCCCAGCTACTCAGGAGGCTGAGGCAGGAGAATTGCCTGAACCCAGGAGGCGGAGGTTGCAGTGAGCCAAGATCGCGCCATTGCACTCCAGCCTGGGTAACAAGAGCAAAACTCCGTCTCAAAAAAAAAAAAAAAAAAAAAAAAGATATAGTGTAAATCAAGAGCCTAAGGACAGAGACCCAGAAGGGCAATTAATACTGTGCCTTACAAGGGGAAAAATGTCTCTCACTTACCAGTCCCCAAAGGGAGCCTTCTGAGGTAGCAACAATGGTAGCAGCTCTTGGGGTGTTGTACATGAGTGCTAGTTCTCCAAAACTGCCATGGTTGTCATATTGACCAACAGAGCGGGTTTGATTATCTTTTGTTACTAAAATGTCGTAAGTTCCCCTAGAAGAATGACAAAAAATTATTTCATTAGTTACTTCTGATAATAAATGTAAAAACTGGCAGGTACATATAATATAAAATGTTGTTTTAAGAGATTTCCAATGGAACTTTGCTAGTATTTAAAAATACAACATATTTTTTTATTTTGACTTTAGTGTCCATAACCTTGCTAAACTCACTTATTAATTCTAGTAGCCTTTTTTTGTGGCATTCTTGGAATATTCTACACAGAGATAATGTCACCTGAAACAAAGACAGATTTAATACTTCCTTTCCAATCTATATGCCCCTTTCTTTCTTTTTTCCCCCAACTTTAACTTAAAAAAATTTTTTTTTTTTTTGAGACAGGGTCTTGTTCTGACACCTAGGCTGGAGTGCAGTGGCACAATCATGGCTCACTGCAGCCTCCACCTCCTGGCCCCAAGCAATCCTCTCACCTGAGCATCCTGAGTAGTTATGATCACAGAGGTGTGCCACCACATCTAACTTTATTTTTATTTTTGTAGAGATGGGGATGGTCTCACTATGTTGCCCAAACTGGTCTGGAACTCCTGGGCTCAAGCAATGCTCCTCTCTCAGCCTCTCAAAGTACTGGGATTAAAGGTGTAAGCCACCATGCTCAACCTAAATTTTTTTAAGTTAATACATATATTTTACATATTTATGGGGTACATGTGAGTGTCTGTTCCATGCACAGAATGGGTAATGATTAAGCCAGGGTATTTGGGTTATCCATCACCTTGGATATATGTCATTTCTATGTGTCGCTATCATTTCATGTCCTCTCTTCTATTAATAGTTACTTTGAAATATGCAAAATACTGCCACCAAGTATAGTCACCTTATCATGCTATAAAACATTAGAACTTTCCAGGTGAAGTGGCTCACACCTGTAATCTCTGTACTTCAGGAAGCTGAACTGAGAGAACTACTTGAGCCCAGGAGTTTGAGATACACCTGGCCAACATATAGAGACTTGTCTCCACAAAAAGGAAAATTAAAGGTAAGAAAGACACATTAAAACATATTTCTGCCGGGCGCGGTGGCTCAAGCCTGTAATCTCAGCACTTTGGGAGGCCGAGGCGGGTGGATCACGAGGTCAAGAGATCGAGACCATCCTGGTCAACATGGTGAAACCCCGTCTCTACTAAAAATACAAAAAATTAGCTGGGCATGGTGGCACATGCCTGTAATCCCAGCTACTCAGGAGGCTGAGGCAGGAGAATTGCCTGAATCCAGGAGGCGGAGGATGCGGTGAGCCGAGATCGCGCCATTGCACTCCAGCCTGGGTAACAAGAGCGAAACTCCGTCTCAAAAAAAAAAAAACAACAAAAAAAAACCATATTTCTTCTAACTGTGTGTTTGTAGCCATTAGCCAACTTCTCTTCATTCACCCACCACCCTTCTCAATTTCTGGTATAAATCACTATTCTCTAGGTCTATCATATCAGTGTTTTTAGCACTCACATGTGAGAACATGTGGTATTTGTCTTCCTGTGCCTAGCTTATTTAACCTAATGTAGCAACCTCCATGTTGCTACAAATGACATGACTTCCTTCTTTTTTATGGTCAAATAGTACTTCATTGTGAATCTATGCCACATTTTCTTCCTTCCTTCCTTTATTCCTTGCCTCCCTCCCTCCCCCTCTTCCTTACTGAATTGACTATAACCTCCAGTACAATATTAAGTGAAAGTGGTGAAAGCAAACATCCTTGCCTTATTCTGCGTTGTAAGGAAAAACAATCTTTCACCATGCTGTAGGTTTTTAAAAAATGCTTCTAGTCTGGTTGGGGAAAGTTATTTTTGTTGCTAATTTGCTGAGCATTTTCATCACAAAAAGATGTTGAGTTTTGTCAAATATTTTGCTGTAGGTATTGAAATAAGTGCATGGGTTTTCTTTCATAGTCTGTACAAAATTAGGATATAACTGATTAAAATAAAGAAAGCAAATGATACAATCATTTAACTATTGATTGGCAATAATTGCTAAAAAAAAAAAAAAATTCAGAACTGGCAAGCATTTGCAGAAATAGGAACTCTCAACATACCACTGAAGGAAACATAAACTTTTCAAAGTTTCTGGAAGATAATTAAACATATAGCAAATACCTTAAAAAGACCCTTTGATACAGCAATTCCATTTCTAGTCATCCCAAAAGAGATAATCAAAGACACTATAAAAGATTTAATTGCAGGGATTTCACCAGGTAATATTTATAATAGTAAAAACTATAAGTAATTTAATCTGCTAATAATAGGAGATGGGTCAAATACATGTTTCCATCCATATTATGGATTCACTAAAAGTAATCACAGAATACGGCTGGGTGCGGTGGCTCATGGCTGTAATCCCAGCACTTTGGGAGGCAAAGCGGGCAGGTAACCTGAGATCAGGAGTTCAAGACCAACCTGGAGAACATGGTGAAACCCTGTTTCTACTAAAAATACAAAAATTAGCTGGGCGTGGTGGCACCCGCCTGTAATCCCAGCTACTTGGGAGGCTAAGACAGGAAAATCACTTGAACCTGGGAGGCGGAGGTTGCAGTGAGCCAAGCTCGAGCCACTGTACTCTAGCCTGGGTGGCAGAGTGAGACTCTGTCTCAAACAAAAAAAAAAAATATTGATAATAAGGACAAAATAATACTGTAATTCTATAACATGCTTAAAATAGACTTAAAAAATTAAATCACACAACGTATGATTTAATGTAAAAAAAATTATGTAAAGATAACTCCATTAATTGACTCCATTTTTGATGTTTGATTATTGACAGCTTTCAAACTCTTTTCTCTTCTGCCCCATATCTGGGCAAGCTGATAAGGAAGCCTGGGCGCTCCCTCCTTTGGTGCTGATGGGGAGTTCAACCAACACAAATGCCAGCCCATGTGTAAGAGTACCCTCACCTAACCCTACCTTCTAACCATCATAAAATCCCAGGCCAATCATACCTTGCCTGCTATCTGAAGTCATTTTTGGATCTGTCTGGGAGCCTCCGACGCTCTCTCTAAAAAGGTTCAACATGTAAGTAATAAACCTTTCCATACCCTTTTAGTGTATATGTAATGTCATCAGTCTTGATATCTCAGCCACTTTTTGGGTGAGGTGTCCAATCTCAACAGTAAAGCATAGAAGTATAAAGTGGTAATTAGATTATGCCTAAATTAATTTTATCCTGTTCTTATTTTTTTATATTCTAAATTTCTTACAAAGAACTTCCATCTGTCTAAAAAATCACTACACATCACGTATTAAAAGAAAAGCAGAGAATGTGCCACTAACCTTGCTCTCAGGGAGCTTACTACTCAGAAGGAAAGCTGACCTGTACTAGGCCTTTATAGACAAGGCAAAAGTAATAAGGTCATTAATAGGAAACATGGAATTCAGTGTTTCTAGTGTTTACTCCAGGGGACACTAGCATTTAACTTTGGGAGTGACAAGAACTCATTTCAGGCAGCAACACTGCAGAGGAATTCTCTTGACTTCTCATTCAGGTCCTCCTCTAAGTAATGAGGCATATTTTTATCACTGTTGTTACCACCACATTATGTAGTAATTATCTATTTCAAGGTCTGTCTCTCCAACTTGACCACTGAAGTTTTTGAGGCCAGAACTGTACCTTTTTTTTTTTTTTTTTTTTGAGATGGAGTTTCGCTCGTCACCCAGGCTGTAGTGCAATGGCGCGATCTCGACTCACCACAACTTCCGCCTCCTGGGTTCAGGCAATTCTCCTGCCTCAGCCTCCTGAGTAGCTGGGATTACAGGCACGCGCCACCATGCCCAGCTAATTTTTTTTGTATTTTTAGTGGAGACGGGGTTTCACCATGTTGACCAGGTTGGTCTCGATCTCTCGACCTTGTGATCCACCCGCCTGGGCCTCCCAAAGTGCTGGGATTACAGGCTTGAGCCACCGCACCCGGCCCAGAACTGTACCTTTTTACTTGAATGATAATCTTTCTTCTTTTTCTTTCCTTTTTTTTTTTTTTTTTTTTTTTTTTTTAAGACAGAGTCTCACTCTGCCGCCCAGGCTGGAGGGCAGTGGCTTGATTTCAGCTCACTGCAACCGCCACCTCCCAGGTTCAAGCAATTCTCCTGCCTCAGCCTCCCAAGGAGCTGGGACTACAGGTGCAAGCCACCACACCCAGCTAATTGTTGTATTTTTTAGTAGAGATGGGATTTCACCATATTGGACAGGCTGGGCTCGAACTCCTGACCTTGTGATCTGCCTGCCTTGGCCTCCCAAAGTGCTGGGATTACCGACATGAGCCACTGTAGTCAGCCCTTTCCTATTTGTTAATCACCACATTCTTTTTTCTTTCTTTCTTTCTTTTTTTTTTTTTTTTTTGAGACAGAGTTTCGCTCTTGTTACCTAGGCTGGAGTGCAATGGCGCGATCTCGGCTCACCGCAACCTCCGCCTCCTGGGTTCAGGCAATTCTCCTGCCTCAGCCTCCTGAGTAGCTGGGATTACAGGCACGCGCCACCATGCCCCGCTAATTTTTTGTATTTTTAGTAGAGACGGGGTTTCACCATGTTGACCAGGATGGTCTTGATCTCTTGACCTCATGATCCACCCACCTCGGCCTCCCAAAGTGCTGGGATTACAGGCTTGAGCCACCGCGCCCGGCATCTTTTTTCTTTTATTCTGAGACAGGGTCTCACTTTGTCCCCCAGGCTAGAGTGCAGTGTCATAATCACTGCCCACTGCAGACTCAACCTCTTGGGTTCAAGTGATCCTCCCACCTCAGCCTTCCAATTAGCTGGAACTATAGGCATGCACCACCATGCCCAGCTAATTTCTTTTTCCCTTCCCTCCATTCCCCCTACCTTTTTGGGGAAAAAAAATAAAAATAAAAAGACACCATTTTATTTATTTATTTTTATTTTCTATAGACATGGGGTTTCATCATGTTGGTCAGGCTAGTCTCGAACTCATGACCTCATGATCCGCCTGCCTCGGCCTCCCAAAGTGCTGGGACTACAGGCATGAGCCACTTGCGTCCAACACCCATCTAATTTTTTTAAAAATGTTTTGTTTTTGCTCTTCTTTTTTTTTTTGAGACAGAGTTTTGCTCTTGGTGCCCAGGCTAGAGTGCAAAGGTGTGATATTGGCTCACTGCAACCTCCACCCTCTGTGTTGAAGCGATTCTTCTGCCTCAGCTTCCCAAGAAGCCTGGCTAATTTTTTTGTATTTTTAGTAGAAACTGGGTTTTGCCACCATGCCTGGCTAATTTTTTGTATTTTTAGTAGAGATAGGGATTTTGCCATGTTGGCCAGACTGGTCTCAAACTCCTGATCTCAAGTGTTCCACCCACCTCAACTTCCTAAAGTGCTGGGTTTACAGGCGTAAGACACCATGCCTGGCCTAAAATAATGTTTTGTAGAGATGTGGTCTCATTATGTTGCCCAGGCTGCTTTTAAACTCCTGGACTCAGGCAATCCTCCCACCTTGGCCTCCCAAAGTGCTGGGATTACAGGTGTAAACTGCCCTGCCCGGTTCTTATTCACATTCACTACTTTCACTGTACAAAGAATAACCTCTTCTGTTTACGTATGAAATAAATCATTCCCTCTGTAAAAAAGCATTTCAGTCCTTAAGTTGCGGGTATGTACAGGCAGAGGCATATTTCCCAAACCATAAATGCTCAATGGGACCTCTGTCTTGGTGCAGGAGTACAAAGCCGTGCAAAGGGGAAAGGTGGCTGCTGGAGTTGGTAATATGATTTTATTACATTATAAGTATAGACCAAGCATGGTGGCCTGTAATCCCAGCACTTTGGGAAGCCAAGGAGGGTGGATCACCTGAGGTTAGAAGTTCAAGACCACCCTGGCCAACATGGCAAAACCCCGTATTTGCTAAAAATATAAGAACTAGCCAGGCATCGTGGCATGCACCTGTAATCCCAGCTACTCAGGAGGCTGAGGGAGAAGAATAGCTTGAACCCATGAGGCAGAGGTTGCAGTGAGCCAAGATTGCACCACTGCACTCCAGCATGTGCAACAGAGCAAGACTCTTAAAAAAAAAATATTAATAATCAGTCTGGCCAACATGGTTAAAACCCATCTCTACTAAAATACAAAAATTAGCTGGGTGTGGTGGCAGGTGCCTGTAATCCCATTTACTCAGGAGGCAGTGGCAGAAGAATCCCTTGAACCTGGGAGGTGGAGGATGCAGTGAGCTGGGATTGCACCACTACACTCTAGCCTGGGCAACAGAGGAAGATTCTGTCTTAAAAAAACAAAAAAAAATTGGTTCAAAAAAAAAAAAACCCCAAACAAATATTATATTTATAATTTTATTTACAAACTATACTGGGCCAGATGCAGTGGCTCACATCTGTAATCTCAGGACTTTGGGAGGCTGAGGCAGGTGGATCACGAGATAAAAAGATCAAGACCATCCTGACCAACATGGTAAAACCCTGTCTCTACTAAAAATACAAAAATTAGCTGGGCATGGAGGAACACACCGGTAGTCCCAGCTACTTGGGAAGCCAAGGCAGGAAAATCGCTTGAACCCGGGAGGTAGAGGTTGCAGTGAGCTGAGATCAGGCCACTGTACTCCAGCCTGGTGACACAGAGCAAGACTCTGTCTCAAAAAAACAAAACTATTGGCATTAGCATAAAAGATGAAGACAAAAGTCTTTTCTCTGGGAAGATATTATTTATGTCATCTTTACTCTAATTAAAACATTTCCTTTAATTGGAATAATTTGTCACAGGTAGCCAGAATCCAAAGGTTACTCAAAGAGGGAGAGTATTTTCTGTTCAAGAACCTGAATAAGAAAAGGCTCAAGAGGAAAGGCAGTACAGCCACTTAGATGGCGATAAAAAGAATCTCAAAAATGAGAATAATTAGAAAAATTTGAATAAGGTCCATAATTAGATGTAGTATTATATAAACGTTAACTTGTGATTTTTATAATTGTTCTACACTTAAGTAAGAGAATATCCTGCCTCGTGGGTTCAAGTGATTCTCCTACCTCAGCATCCCAGGTAGCTGGGACCATAGGCATACAACACCACGCCTGGCTAAATTCTTTTTCTTTTTTGCATTTTTAGTAGAGATGGGGTTTCACCACGTTGGCCAGGCTGGTTTTGAACTACTGACTTTAAGTGATCTGCCTGCCTCAGCGTCCCAAAATGCTAGGATTACAGGTGTTAGCCACTGCACCCAGCTTTGACAATAATAAAGCAAAGGTAGTAGAACACTAACCTGGGAAACCTGTATTTATGATAATTTTTTTTTTCAAGTCTCCCAAGTAGCTGGGATTACAGGTGTGTGCCACCACACCCGGCTAATTTTTATATTTTTAGTAGATACAGGGTTTCATCATATTGGCCAGGCTGGTCGCAAACTCTTGATCTCAGGTGATCCACAAGTGTTGAGATTACAGGTGTGAGCCACCATACCTGGCCTAAAGGAAACTTTCTACTCTAGATGACGGCTCTTTAAATAAGAGTTGTGCTGAGGACTCAGGACAGCATTGGTAGAGAGGGACAAGCTGTGGACTCTCACAGGCTTTGGGAAGCTTGTTCACCTGGCCCTAAGCCTCTCTGGGCTGAATACAGACTAGGATAAAGCATTTGCCCTGAATCACGAATCCAGTTAAGTGTGGCCACACAATTGCAAAGCTCCATCTCCTACCGTTCTATGACATAAAAGTTGTCTCCATCATCTCCTTGGTCAATGACATGCTCATCAGCTTTGACTATCCTTTCAAACATGGCATCAAGAACTTGAGAAAGCTGTTCCTGCAGGGTATGCACAGAAGAAAAAATAGCTTTTACATCTGCTGAAAAAAAGCAGTGACCATAATTATCTCAATTTGTGACTATATAACAGAAGTCCCCACATTCAAGCAGAAACCTAAAGGCTGTCTGAAACAAATGCTTTCTTGGGACCATTCAGCTTTTTACCTCCATGTACTTTAGCAGAGAGAAAACTGGCAAGTTTTCTGAGGCAGTATTGTTTTGAATAAGCTTTCCACAATTTACGCAGAAATATTATTTAAATCATGGTCCATGTTTTCCCAGCCACATCCACATGACTGTCACCTGCCTGATGGCTGCACTATGCCATGTGTAAAGCCATGTGCTGCCACACCTTCCTACAGGTGTTGACCTTAACAGGATCATCAGATCTAAAGGGCTGTTAATGGCCTTAGAGGTTATCTTTTGGAACAGCACAATTGCCTTTGACTAGCCAAACACGTCACTTAAACTCGTTGTGCTTCAGTATCTTTTTTTTCTTTTTTCTCTTTCGCCTAGGCTGGAGTGCAGTGGTGCAATCTCAGCTCACTGCAACCTCTCCCTCCTGGGTTCAAGTGATTCTCCTGCCTCAGCCTCTCAAATAGCTGGGACTACAGGCCTGCGCCACCACACTTGGCTAATTTTTATATTTTTAGTAGAGGAGACAGGGTTTTGCCATGTTGGCCAGGCTGGTCTCAAACTCCTGAACTCAGGTGATCCACCCACCTCAGCCTCCCAAAGTGCTAGGATTACAGGCCTGAGCCACCACGCCCAGCAAACTTCAGTTTCTTTGTATGTAAAAAGGGTGTAACAAAGATTCTACCTCATCGATTTTTATAACCCAAAGAGAAAAACCTAAGGGAAGTATTTATGAAACAACAGATACTCAACAAATGAGATCTATTTTAAGACAGCTAATATTGCTTCATTTACATACAACACACGCAATTACTTACTTACTAATATTGCCTGCCATAACCAGACATCAACTATATGGATAAGTATAATGAAAAGAAAACAATATTATTAAATTCTAACAAAACAATGGTCTCAGCCTGGGGCCAGCATCCCTGTCAGACAGGGAGATAAGTGATTATTAGGGGTTCACTAAAGAATACCAGATTCAATTTAAAAAAGACTTTCTCTTTGAAGGAATGTAGACTGAACACCTGGAAAGAGAATAATTTTATAACTGCATAATTCCAAGTGATTTTATGTTTTATCAGAGTGACTGTGCTACCAAGATAATTGAGTATCACCAAAAAGTATATTTAGTTCCATGTGTGTTGAATACTGTATAAGCTGACAAATACTAAAAAGGATGGCTTACAACTGACATACTACGCACATTCACTGGAATGTGAGCCCAGTGTTGCCAGAAATCTATTTATATTCTGGCGATAAATTTAATTTTCATGTACAATACAGACCAAACACAGACATCTGTACCTAGCCTGCGGGTTGCCTGCTGGAAGCCTCTTGTTCTGAGTAACTTTTCTTCTTCTAGTCTGGACTCTTCAAACACATGTGTCATGAGATACAGAATAAGATAGGTGGAAGGGGAGCATTTCTAGATTAGAGGAGACTAAAATAACAACATGACAACCAAATGAAATACAGTAAGTACTCACTTAATGTGGTTGATAGGTTCTTGAAAAATGTGAATTTAAGCAAAACAATGTCCTCAAATATAACAGTTATGTTACAACAATGATGAGGGGAAAAAAGATTTCATTATAGGTTGCTTTGCTTAAAGTTGCAGTTTCCAAGACTACCAACAATGTTAACGTGAGTACTTATTGTATGTGATTCAGGATGCGAGGTGAGGACTTACTATATGTGATTTAGGATTGAAAAGCAAAACCAAAAGCTATACAGAACTTTACTGGGAAACTGAGGAAATCTGAGTATGGACTGTTGTTAGGTGATTTTATATTATACCAATGTTAAATTTCCTGGATTTATTAAATGGCATTGTATTAACACAGGAAGATATTCTTTTTTAATTTTTTTTTGAGACAGAATCTCACTGTCACCCAGGCTGAAGTGCAGTGGCGCGATCTCGGTCCACTGCAACCTCTGCCTCAGGTGATGTTCACCTGGCCGTAAGACAGGTTCAAGTGATTCTCCTGCTTCAGCCTCCCGAATAGCTGGGACTTCAGGTGCGTGCCACCACATCCAGCTAATTTCTTTCTTTTTTTTTTTTTTTTTTGAGACGGAGTTTCGCTCTTGTTACCCAGGCTGGAGTGCAATGGCACGATCTCGGCTCACCGCAACCTCCGTCTCCTGGGCTCAGGCAATTCTCCTGCCTCAGCCTCCTGAGTAGCTGGGATTACAGGCACGTGCAACCATGCCCAGCTAATTTTTTGTATTTTTAGTAGAGACAGGTTTTCACCATGTTGACCAGGATGGTCTCGATCTCTCGACCTCGTGATCCACCTGCCTCGGCCTCCCAAAGTGCTGGGATTACAGGCTTGAGCTACCGCGCCCGGCATCCAGCTAATTTCTATATTTTTATTAGAGATAGGGTTTCGCCATGATGGCCAAGCTGGTCACGAACTCCTGACCTCAAGTAATCTGCCCACCTCGGCTTCTCAAAGTGCTGGGATTACAGGCGTGAGCCACTGCGCCAGGCCAGAAAATATTCTTGTTCCTGGAAAATACATCCTAAATATTTAGTAGTGAAGAATCATGATGTCATAAATGATTCGGAACAAAAAAAAACATTTTATATATACTCCCCTTTTCTTTCTCTCTTTACATAAACTTACACACAAGAGAAAAAGCAAATGTGGTAAAATGCTAAAATGTTTACAACTGGCCAGTCTAGGTAAAGGGTGTCTGGGTATTCATGGTATTATTCTTGTGAATTTTCTGTAAATTTGAAATTTAAAAATAGAAATTTGGAAAATAAATTTTAAATTTGAAACAAATACACTAATCAGAATGGCTAAAACTAAAAATACTAACAATATAAAATGTTAGCAAGGATGTGGAGCAACATGAAATCTCACATGTTGTTGACAGGAATGCAAAGTGGTAAAACTACTTTGAAAAATATCTGGCAGACTTTTTTTTTTTTTTTTTTTTTTTGAGACAGAGTCTCACTCTCTCACCCAAGCTGGAGTACAATGGTATGATCTCGACCCACTGCAACTTCCACCTACTGAGTTCAAGTGATTCTCCTGCCTCAGCCTCCTGAATAGCTGGGATCACAGGTGTGCGCCACCATGCACAGCTAATTTTTGTATTTTTAGTAGAGAGGGGGTTTCACCATGTTGGCCAGGCTGGTCTTGAACTCCTGACCTCAGGTGATCCACTCGCCTTGGTTTCCCAAAGTGCTGGGATTTACAAGCATGAGCCATTGAACCCAGCTGATCTGGCAGATTTGTTTACAAAGTCAAACAGATACCTATCTTATGACTCAGCAATTTTCCTCTCAAGTATTTTACTCAAGATAACTTGGGGGAAAGGTTCACAAAAAGATTTATACAAAATGTTGACAGTGTTATTCATAATAGCTAAAAATGAGAAACAGACCAAGTATTCATTAACAGAAGAATGGATAAATTGGTATTTTTGAACAACGAAATACTACTCAGCAATAAAAAGGAATGAACCAACATTGCTGGCAATAAGACATGCTGATATCATGAGGCCTTTGATATGATGCTTTCAGATAGACACAAAATAATTTCTGTGGTAGTCTGGCCAAAAATATAACCATATTCCAAAATCATGAGGAAACATCAAACTCAAATGGAGAGACATTCTATAGAATTACTCTTCAGAGTGTCAAGATTATGAAAGACAAGGAAAGACTGAAAACTGCCACAGATTGTAGGAGATTAAGAACAAATAACAACTAAATGTAACATGAGATTCTGGACTGGATCCTCTATCGGAAAAAAGACATTATTGAGAGAAGTAATTTTTTTTTTTTTTTTTTTTTTTTAGGATGGAATTTCACTCTTGTTGCCCAGGCTGGAGTGCAATAGCATGGTCTCAGTTCATTGAAAACTCTGCCTCCTGGGTTCAAGTGATTCTCCTGCTTCAGCCTCTTAAGTAGCTGGGATTACAGGCACCTGCCACCATGCTCAGCTAACTGTTGTATTTTTAGTAGAGACGGAGTTTCACCATGTTGGCCAGGCTGGTCTCAAATTCCTGACCTCAGATGATCCACCTTCCTCAGCCTCCCAAAGTGCTGGGATTACAGGCATGAGCCACACTGTGCCCAGCCAAATTACAACTTTTCAACAATAAAATGGTATTCTCCAACACTAAGAAAACTGAATATTAGATTGACATAGAAACTTCCCTTATAAAAACTCTAATGGTATAAAATTTACAAGAGGTTTTATTAACCCCTTTGACTGATGCATTTAAGCTCGTATCTGACCAGCCAGATTCCCAGGGAGGGCTGTGGAAATGTCTTCAGCAGCCTTTTTTGTAGGAGCTGGGTAATGGAGGAAATGTAATCCCAGCCTTCCTGTCTCTGCACTTTCTGGGACTCCTCAATAGGCCTAGCACCTCAGCCATTCGTGTGGTTTTAAATTTTTTTAATTTTTAATTTTTAACTTTTTTGAGATAGAATCTCCTCTGTCACCAAGGCTGGAGTGCAGTGGTGCAACCTCACCTCATTGCAACCTCCACCTCCCCAGTTCAAGTGATTCTTCTGCCTCAGCCTCCCAAGTAGCTGGAACTACAGGCACATGCCACCACACCTGCCTAATTTTTGTATTTTTAGTAGAGATGGAGTTTCACCATGTTGACCAGACTGGTTTTGAACTCCCGACCTCAAGTGATTCGTCTGCTTTAGCTTCCCAAAGGGCTGGGATTATAGGCATGAGCCACTGTGCCTGGCCTCCAGTGTGGCCTTCGAAGTAGAGAAGAATAGAGAAGAAACAAAGTAGAAAAGAAACAGGAAATCTTAAGATTCTCTATTACTATGAACTAAATAATTATGTCACCCCAAAATTCCATGTTAAAACCTGACACCCCATGTGATGGTATCAGATGGTAAGGCCTTTGTCAGTGATTAGGTCATGTATGGGACTAATGCCCCTATAAAAGAGACCCTGAGAGCTCTCTCCCTCCTTCTACCATGTGAAAACACAGAGATGGCTATCTCTGAACCAAGAAGTGGGCTCTTAATCAGACACCAAATCTGATGGCACCTTGAGCCTGATTTCCCAGACTCCAGAACTGTGAGAAATTTCCACTGTTTATAAGCCACCCAGTTTACAGTATTTTGTTATAGCAGCCCAAATGTACTAGGACAGCTATCAGGATGTAGCCCTCGTTCTTTATTTCTACCACCAAGAGAGGGAGGACAGGCCCAGGTCATAGATCCTATGCTAAGCCCTGCAGAAACACACCATTCTCAAGAAGCACTTATCACACACTGTGGTAAGCCAGTGGGGTAACTACTATTAATCAAGGGAACTACATACCAGCATCTTCAGAAAAATCAATCTCTTTGGATTGATTTTTGTTGAAAATACAACAATCTCTAGGACAAATTCAGACCTAAGCCAGGGTCATGCAAATCTGAGCATTTCCTTGCAACATGACCAAACTACATGGTCTTCAAATGATCAGTACTGTCTTGGAGAAAGTGCCAAAGCGGCTCAGAAAAATACAGGAGTCCTCCCCTTATCCATGGGGAGTATGTTCCAAGGGGATATGTGGATGTCTGAAACGGAGGTTGAACCCTATTGCTGTCAACTGGAACACATTTCTTCTTTTTTTTGAGATGGAGTTTTGCTCTTGTTACCCAGGCTGCAGTGCAATGGTGCGATCTCGGCTCACCACAACCTCCGTCTCCTGGGTTCAAGCCATTCTCCTGCCTCAGCCTCCCGAGTAGCTGGGACTACAGGCGTGCGCCACCACGCCCAGCTAACTTTTGTTTTTTTAGTAGAGACGGGGTTTCACCATGTTGACCAGGATGGTCTCGATCTCTTGACCTCGTGATCCACCCGTCTCGGCCTCCCAAAGTGCTGGGATTATAGGCGTGAGCCACTGCGCCCAGCCTAAAAGTGCTAATCTCTCTCTCTCTTTTTTTTTTTTTTTTTTCCCAGACAGTTTCGCTCTTGTTACCCAGGCTGGAGTGCAATGGCGCAATCTTGGTTCACCGCAACCTCCACCTCCTGGGTTCAGGCAATTCTCCTGCCTCAGCCTCCTGAGTAGCTGGGATTACAGGCACGCACCACCACGCCCAGCTAATGTTTTTGTATTTTTAGTAGAGACGGAGTTTCACCACGTTGACCAGGATGGTCTCAATCTCTTGACCTCGTGATCCACCTGCCTCGGCCTCCCAAAGTGCTGGGATTACAGGCTTGAGCCACTGCACCCGGCCTACACATTTCTATTCATATAACAAATGTAATGCCTTTCCATCTTAACCAAGTACTTACCACGCACTGTGGCTGTAACTTGTGCAGTTTGAGGTGTGACAGCAAAACTAGCATAAATTTCTTTTTCCTCCTCACAGTTTCACAAATAAAAAGATTCTTATTCTTCTTTCTTTTCTTTTCTTTTTTTTTTTTTTGAGACAGAGTCTCGCTCTGTCACCTAGGCTAGAGTGCAATGGTATAATCTCAGCTCACTGCAACCTCTGCTTCCTGGATTCAAGCAATTCTCCTTCCTCAGCCTCCTGAGTAGCTGGGATTACAGGCGCGTGCTAACACACCTGGCTAATTTTTGTATTTTTAGTAGAGATGGAAATTCACCATGTTGGCCAGGCTGGTCTTGAACTCCTGATCTCAGGAAATCCACCCGCCTAGGCCTCTCAGAGTGGTAGGGTTACAGGCGTGAGCCACCACGCCTAGCCAGAAGATTCATTCTTATCATAGATCTCTGCAATCTCAGTACACAATTTGTTTCTTTCTTTCCTTAAATTTCTCTCATCTTTTCACTTAAAGAAAGCATTTTATGGCTTCTATTTGGCATATCTGAATTGCCAGCATCGCTTCTCTTGTGCTTTCGGGCCATCATTAAATAAAATAAGGTTACTTAAATAGGAGTACTGCTAGATGGTGACTAAATGACTAATGGACAGGTGGCATATACAGCATGGACACACTGGGACAAAGTGATGATTTACACTCTGGGTGGTAGCAGAGCAGGACAGCATAAGATTCAGAACAGCATGCCCTTTACAACTTTCCAAGAATTATTTCTGGAATTTCCTTTTTGAAAATTTTGAGGTGGAGTCTCACTCTGTCACCCAGGCTGGAATGTAGTGGTGCGATCTTGGTTCACTGCAACCTCTGCCCCCTGGAGTGGAACAATTCTCCTGCCTTAGCCTCCTGAGCAGCTGGAATTACAGATGTGTGCAACTATGCCCGGCTAATTCTTGTATTTTTAGTAGAGACGGGGTTTTGCCATGTTGGCCAGGCTAGTCAACCGGGTTTTGCCATGTTGGCCAGGCTGGAACTCCTGACCTCAGGTGATCCACCCACCTCAGCCTTCCAGAGTGCTGGGATTACAGGCATGAGCCACCACACTCGCTATTTCTGGAATTTTCCATTTAGTATTTATGGACTGTCATTAACTATGGGCAACTGAAACCCTGGAAAGCAAAACCAAGAATAAGGGGGACTACTGCACTAAAAGGCATCTGAAAAATCATGTCTGGGTTAAAGTAGTCAATGCAATGAAAACATTTGTATGTAAGATGAATCTAAGGTTTTATGCTTAATATGGCTGTGGCCAGAATGCTAAAAATTAAAGTTTAAGTGACAAATAGGAGCAAAGCTAAAAGATCATATAATAAAAATACTTTAGAAATCAATGTTACCTGATCAAGATTTTTGAAAAGGAGAATATCTTTGCAAGCTTCCTGAAGTCTGCATCTCTGTTCATCAGTTTTAGGATGAATCACCTGCCAACCCAAATAAAACCATGGAAATTATTTTATTTCATTTAAAAATAATCACTTAAAGACTGGTATATTTCTTTCTATAAAGAGTGGGAAAAATAAAGAATATGATGTCATTTTAATTTTACATAAATATCAAGCTGTATGCTGAAGGTGGAGGAACAATGTAATATAGGGGTGAAGAGCACTGACCCTGGAGCCAACTCCTGACTAAGTGGCTGGCAGCAAGTCAGCTGTCCCTTGGGAGCCTCAGGATCTTCATCCATAAAGCAGAGGGTTATAAATTTGTTCTTTAAACAAATATTGAGCATCTACTCAAAAAAAAAGGTACATCATTTAATCTGACCAGAAATAACAGACGTCAAAAGTGTTGGCTGGACTTGGTGGCTCACACCTGTAATTCCAGCACTTTGGAAAGCTGAGGCGGACAGATCACAAGGTCAGGAAATTGAGACCATTCTGGCCAACATGGTGAAACCCTGTCTCTACTAAAAATACAAAAATTATCTGGGCGTGGTGACACTTGCCTGCAATCCCAGCTACTTGGGAGGTTGAGGCAGGAGAATCACTTGAACCAGGGAGTAGGAGGTTGCAGTGAGCCAAAATTGCACCACTGCACTCCAGCCTGGTGACAGAGTGAGACTCCATCACCAAAAAAAAAGTGTTAAGTATTTTAAATTTGTGATATTAAATTAGGAAATAACTGTTTTACAGTTATCAAGAATTTTATAACTAGAATTAAAAAATTTACATGATTTTTACATTCACAAAAATGGTAGCATTTATTAGAATACTTCAGAAATCTTTCATATGTTACTCATTTTAAAGGTAACTTGGCCGGGCGCGGTGGCTCAAGCCTGTAATCCCAGCACTTTGGGAGGCCGAGGCGGGTGGATCACGAGGTCAAGAGATCGAGACTATCCTGGTCAACATGGTGAAACCCCGTCTCTACTAAAAATACAAAAAATTAGCTGGGCATGGTGGCACGTGCCTGTAATCCCAGCTACTTGGGAGGCTGAGGCAGGAGAATTGCCTGAACCCAGGAGGCGGAGGTTGCAGTGAGCCGAGATCGTGCCATTGCACTCCAGCCTGGGTAACGAGCGAAACTCCGTCTCAAAAAAAAAAAAAAAAAAAAAAAGGTAACTTGACTTAAAGGTAAAATAATAGATCATTAAAGGTTTTTTTTGAGACAGAGTTTCGCTCTCGTTACCCAGGCTGGAGTGCAATGGCTCGATCTCGGCTCACCACAACCTCCGCCTCCTGGGTTCAGGCAATTCTCCTGCCTCAGCCTCCCGAGTAGCTGGGATTACAGGCAAGCGCCACCACGCCCAGCTAATTTTTTGCACTTTTAGTAGAGACGGGGTTTCACCATGTTGACCAGGAGGGTCTCGATCTCTTGACCTCGTGATCCACCCGTCTCGGCCTCCCAAAGTTCTGGGATTACAGGCTTGAGCCACCGCGCCCGGCCCATCAAAGGTTTTTTTTTGTTTTTGTTTTTGTTTTTTTTTTGAGATGGAGTTTTGCTCTGTTGCTCAGGCTGGAGTGCAGTGGTGCAATCTTGGCTAACTGCAACCTCCACTTCCCAGGTTCAAGTGATTGTCCTGCCTTAGCCTCCTGAGTAGGTAGGATTATAGGTACACACCACCACACCAGGCTGGTCTCAAACTCCTGACCTTGTAATCCGCCTGTCTCCACCTCCAAAAGGGCTGGGATTCCAGGCGTGAGCCACCACGCCTGGCTCACTAAAGCTTTTTTATAACATCAATCATTTTTTTGTTTTTTGAGACGGAGTTTCACTCTGTCGCCCAGGCTGGAGTGCAGTGGCGAGATCTCAGCTCACCACAACCTCTGCCTCCCAGGTTCAAGTGATTCTCCTCCTCGGTTTTCCGAGTAGCTAGGATTACCGGTGCCCGCCACCACACCTGGCTAATTTTTCTATTTTCAGTAGAGACGAGGTTTCACTATGTTGGCCAGATTGGTCTGGAACTCCTGACCTCAGGTGATCTACCCACCTTGGCCTCCCAAAGTGCTGGAATTACAGGCATGAATCACCACACCCAGACTATAACATCAATCTTTTAAAAATGATAGTTCATATATTCTCTCATAAAAGTAATTTATGTCAATTCTACAAAAGTTTAAAAAATTAAGTTTTTTTTTTTTTAAAGCACTCAAAAATCAAACATGGTCTTATCACAACTACTGTTAACATCTGGGGTATATCCTTCCAGATAGAATTTTCTATATATACAAATATATGTATATATTTGAAATAAATTTGAAATATGTATTTCAAATTTATTATTTTACAAAATGCTCTATAAAATGCACCTCACACAAACATACATCCCATGCCATTACATACAGTCCTGTACCATCACTTTCAATGGCTACAGATTCTCTTCATTTGAATGCACCATCATTTAGCCCCTTGTAATCCCATATTTTGGGTCATTTAGGTTGTTTCCATTTTTCATTGTTATAACACTACAATAAGTTCCATTTGTATATCCTCTGGAAGGATCCAACTTTCATTAGGGATGAATTCTCCTTTAGGTAAATGCTAAATCAGTTGGCTTGACTGTAAGTATTTAAGGCTTGTTGTTATTTTTTTTTTTAATAGAGATGAGGTCAGGCTGGTCTCAAACTGCTGGGCTTCAAGTGATCTTCCCACCTCAACCTTCCAAAGTGCTAGGAGTACAGGTAAGCCACCATCCTCGGCAGTTTGTGTATGTGTGTGCCTGTGTGTGTGTGTGTGTGTTTGTGTGTGTGTGTGTTTTGTTTGCAGCCTTGACCTCCTAGACTGTAGCAGCAATCCTCCTACCTCAGGCTCCTATGTAGCTGCAAATACAGGCATGTCCCACCAACCCCGGCTAATTTTTTTCCCCCCACAAATATGGGGTCTTGCTATATTGTCCAAGCTAGTCTTGAACTCCTGGCCTCAAGCAATCCTCCTGCCTCAGCCTCTCAAAGTGTTGGGATTACAGGAGTGAACCACCATGTCCAGCCTGTTTAAGGCTTTTGACAGCTACAGCTTGGCACTTCTCACCATACCCTCAACCAATGCAGCTTTCAATCTGTTAGACTAAAAATGTCACTTTATTGATATTTTAATTTGTATTTAATTACTAGCATGATGAGTTTTTGTTATGTAGAGAAGGCAAGTTAGTGAGAAATACAACAATTCTACCTAACATCTTTGCTTTGGGTCTTACCCTTGGATCTGTATCTTCCTCTTCCTCATCAGGGTTATAGGTCTCAGCACAGACTAAAATTGGAGAGAAAAAAACAAAGAGAAGAATGAATTTAATAGATGCATGGCTTTAAAAAAAAACAGGAATTGAACTCAATTTCCTTTTATTCACTGTTTTTTAATTTTTTTGAGACAGAGTTTCACTTTTGTTGCCCAGGCTGGAGCACAACCTTGGCTCGCCGCAACCTTCATCTCCCAGATTCAAGCAATTCTCCTGCCTCAGCCTCCCAAGCAGCTGGGATTACAGGAATGCACAACCATACCCGGCTAATTTTCTGTTTTTAGTAGAGATGAGGTTTCACCATGTTGGTCAGGCTGGTCTTGAACTCCTGACATCAGGTGATTTACCTGATGTATAATATAAATGCTCATGTCTGTAATCCCAGCACTTTGAGAAGCCGAGGCAGGCAGATCACAAGGTCAAGAGATTGAGACCATCCTGGCCAACATGGTGAAACCCCATCTCTACTAAAAACACAAAATAGCTGAGCATGGTGGTGTGCACCTGTAGTCTCAGCAACTTGGGAGGCTGAGGCAGAAATTTGGCAGATGGAGGTTGCAGTGAGCCGAGAACATGCCACTACACTCCCGTCTGGTTGACAGAGTGAGACTCCGTCTCAAAAAACAAACAAACAAAAAAGACATAGAGAGAGTTGTAGGAAACACAAAGGAAAAAGCAAGGTGAAGAAGAGTGTATACAGTATGTTATCCTTTGCGGAAGAAAGACTTCCATGATAAAGGAGAACTAAGAATGGAGGGAAAATAAATATAAATATGATATACTTTTACTGGTTAATTTTCCCAAAAGGAAACAATTTGAGAAAAATAAACTGGAAAGTAATTAAATTATTTTTCTAGTGTTTAGATAGAAACAGAAAAGAAGGGATAGGGAAGGGAATGAAACTTCTCTGAAGAAACATTTTTATATAAAAAGTTTTGACATTTAAGCCATGTTAATTTTTCACATATTTAAAAAATTAAATCGATAACAAGGACCCTAAAACTAAGCACAAAGAAAAACAAAAAAAACCTACCCATGTATCAGGGTGATAACATAATCAGAGAAGGAAAGAATTAGATTCTAAGTAGCTTCTGAACATAGTACTCTGACCATCCACCATCAGTGGGATATACTGGATTTCAACAACAAAAAATAAACGGATGTTGGTGATGGTATAGCAATTCCAAAACTCTTTGGTTTTTTTTGCTTTTTGAGACAGAGTCTCACTCTGTTGTCCAGGCTGGAGTGCAGTGGCATGATCTCAGCTCACTGCAACCTCTGCCATCCTTGTTCAAGCAATTTTCTCACCTCAGCCTCCTGAGTAGCTGGGACTACAGGTGTGTGCCATCACACTTGGCTAATTTTTTTGTTATTTTCCGTAGAGACAGGGTTTTGCCATCTTGCCCAGGCTGGTCTCAAACTCCTGAGCTCAGGCAATCCGCCTGCCTTGGCCTCTCAAAGTGCTGGGATTACAGGCATGAGCCACCACACCCAGCCTATAACTCCAAAACTTTTCTATGTGTATTACTGTAGTGAGTAAATTTAAAAAACACAGATTTTTAAAAATTATTACTGGTGAGAAGGGGGATACAAATATGGACTGGAGGAAGAATTAGAGCTATCAATACAATCATTATTTTAAAATCTCACCCTATATGTTATTTCCAAAGACACAATAAATTATTTAGTGAATCAAGAGTTTTGTACTAAGAAAACTGTTTCTACCAAGAATGAACTAGTTGTGATCACTGATGTTTCTCAGAAAGCAGCAAACCTATACCCTCTTAACAATACAGGCCATTATAGCTGGGAAAAGTGTTCTTATAATAAATCCTCAGTGATCTGTAATAGCTGTGAGACCAGAGGTAATTTATTGCATATCTCCACCCTTCCTCAGCATAATGGCACAAACAGTGGTGATTTCTCTCTGAAGACTGTTGTAAGGATTCAAGCAGATAGGTGCCAGGCACACAGTAAGGAGGCAACTTGAACTATTACTGTTATTATCCTGCTTCCATTTATTCTGGGTTTCAGGAGAATTAATTATTGATATGTTGGTTTTCTATCTCACTTCTTTTAACAACTGTCCTTTCTTCCAGGCTAAACTCCATCACATATTGCTACCCTTACAACTTTGCTCTTTTTGCTTTCTCTAGTTTTTTTTTTACCCGCCATCTGCTCTCCAAGATAGAGTTTCACGCTATCACCCAGGCTGGAGCATAGCAATCTGGTCTTGGCTCACAGCAACCTCCGCCTCTCAGAGTCAAGCGAGTCTGCTGTTTCAGCCTCCTGGGTAACAGATTTCAGGTCTGAAAGCCTGGCTAATTTTTGTATTCTTAGGAGAGATGGGTTTTTTGTTTTTTGGGGTTTTTTTTTTTGCCATGTTGGCCAGGCTGGTTTCAAACTCCTGACCTCAAGTGATCTGCCGATCTTGGCCTCCCAAAGTGCTAAAATTACAGGCATGAGCCACCATGCCTGGCCAATTATTTTTATGTATTTAATTCTTGCTCATTGTTTTTAGTTTCCTTATAATCTTATCACACTCATTTTCTGTTTCATCTCAGCCAATTTTATCCTTGACTTTTTCTCAGAATTCATAAGGGCATTGATTTCTTATACTTTACTGAGCATTTTGTAGTGGACCTTTCTAGTCTCCACTCCTCTTACATCCTTAACCAGCTGAGTTCACTCATAGGCCCTGTATTGTTTATTAGGATTTATTTATCATCTGTTAACAGGCAACAAACAGTTCTTGACCCTACTCTCAATCTGTGTGATGGCTAAAAGACTCCATGTATCTATAACTACAGGACAGGCTGATACATACAACTCCCAATTTATTTATTTTTATTTATTATTATTACTTTTTGAGACAGAGTCTCGCTCTCTTGCCCAGACTGGAGTGCAGTGACATGATTTCAGCTCACTGCAACCTCCGCTTCCCAGGTTCAAGTGATTCTGCTGTCTCAGCCTCTCGAGTAGCTGGGGCTACAGGTGCACACCACCACACACAGCTAATTTGTATTTTTAGTATAGACGGGGTTTCACCATGTTGGCCAGGCTGGTCTCGAACTCCTGACCTCAAGTGATTCACCCACCTCAGGCTCCCAAAGTGCTGAGAGCCCAAGGTGTGAGCTACCGCACCCAGCCCTACTCCTACTTTAATTCCCAGTTTCTTAGAGACACTTACTATAGTCCTGGTCTAGCTATACCCCAGCTTCCCTTTCCTCACTGATTCTCTAAACCAATAAAAGATCTGAGAAATGATGACTTCCATTGTGTCCTATACACAGGACTCTCTCATCCTTGCCTTAGCATATAATACTCTACTTGTAGGCTGGGCGTGGTGGCTCAAGCCTGTAATCCCAGAACTTTGGGAGGCCGAGGTGGGTGGAACATGAGGTCAAGAGATCGAGACCATCCTGGTCAACATGGTGAAACCCCATCTCTACTAAAAATACAAAAAATTAGCTGGGCATGGTGGCACACGCCTGTAATCCCAGCTACTCCGGAGGCTGAGGCAGAATTGCCTGAACCCAGAAGGTGGGGGTTGCAGTGAGCCGAGATCACACCATTGCACTCCAGCCTGGGTAACAAGAGCGAAACTCTGTCTCAAAAAAAAAAAAAAAAATACTCTACTTGTGTGGCCCATGCCACTTGTGCAGTAATGTCATGCCCAATAGGGACCTTGTATCCTAAAACAGGTAAGAGAAAAATTAGGGGAAATAGAATAAGGAAAGATGCACCATTCTAGTCCCTGAAACAGCATTAGGTGATGCTCTGTAGAGGGCTGCCCAGTTTCTGGCTACTTTGGGCCTTGGGTCACTGAGCCAAGGAAGTGACAATGGGGATGTAGATTGACTCATTACCTTTACAAAGCATTTTTGTTTCCAGAAGATGAGGCCAGGGTGCCTTTTATCTCAGTTCTTCCCTAATGATTAAGGCAGTCACCTATCTTAGTTCCTAGGCATTTCTTTTTTTTTTCTTTGTGACGTAGTTTTGCTCTTGTTGCCCAGGCTGGAGTACAATGGCGCAATCTTGGCTCACTGCAACCTCCACCTTCCAGATTCAAACAATTCTCCTGCCTCAGTCTCCTGAGTAGCTGGGATCACAGGTGCCTGCCACCACGCCCAGCTAATATATATATATATATATATAGTTTCGCTCTTGTTACCCAGGCTGGAGTGCAATGGTGCGATCTCGGCTCACTGCAACCTCCGCCTCCTGGGTTCAGGCAATTCTCCTGCCTCAGCCTCCTGAGTAGCTGGGATTACAGGCACGTGCCACCATGCCCAGCTAATTTTTTGTATTTTTAGTAGAGATGGGGTTTCTCCATGTTGACCAGGATGGTCTCAATCTCTTGACCTTGTCATCCGCCCGCCTCGGCCTCCCAAAGTGCTGGGATTACAGGCTTGAGCCACCACACCCGGCCAATTTTTTATATTTTTAGTAGAGACAGGGTTTCACCATGCTGGCCAGGCTGGTCTTGAACTCCTGACCTCAGGTGATCAACCCACCTTAGCCTCCCAAAGTGCTGGCATTCCAGGTGTGAGCCACCAAGCCCAGCCTCCTAGCCATTTCTGTTGTCACTTTTTGCATCTTCATGGGTATTTTGGTAGGAAACTTGGGAAGCTGCATCAAGGACATCTAAGCAGACACTATGTTAAACTGCAAGTTTCTTGGTTCTCTGTGCTCGTGATTAATGCCATTATCAGCCTAATTTTCTAAACTAGAAATTTGGAATTAATCATACTTTCTTCTCTCACCTCTTGTCCGATGAATACATCAAATTCTGCTTCAGAAATATTCTCATATTTGATCTTTATTCAGTGTATTCCAATTGCCATATTATTATTTTAAAAATTCATTTCAGGAAATAAATGGGTACACTGGTATTATACTAACTTCCTCTACTTTTGTGCATGAAATCTTCCTTTTTAATTTTTTTTTTTTTTTTTTTGAGACACAGTCTCACACTCAGTCACCGAGGCTGGTGTGCAGTGGCACAATCTCA